AGCATGCCTGACTCAACCCAACATACATGCAAGACATCAAATTGTTGAACTACAAAATGTCAAGGAATATGGTAAAGTCCAAGACAGAAGAGTCTTCATCTCATCTGGTTATGTCTTGAATTAGCATGGTAAAGTTTTATTATTTTATTTCGCAATTTCTAAAAAATGCATTTGAAAAGAGACAACAATGCCTCTCGAATAATTAAATATTCATTCTTTTTTCTCATTGACAACTGTACCATGTAGTCATTTTCATTGCTACACATGTATGTACCTATTTGAGATTATTTTACGGTATTAATATTTTTTTTTTTTCCTATACTTTTGTGTATCTGCCTTTAATATTTGTAGTTTGTTTATTTTTTTTATTATTAATTTTAATAAGTGTATTACTTTCTTTCTTTAGTTTTGTACTTGTAAGTTTAGTTTTATAATTGCAGTTTTTTAGTGACCTTACTTTCAGAAGTGAGTGTTGTGTCAATAAACGTATTGTATTAAATTAACATTATGGACCATTCTGCACTGGAATAACTGAAGTATAGACAGAGAGCTGCTTAGTATCATATTGATTGGTGCAAAGAATAAAGTATCACTTTAAAATTGAATTTAAGTGTGGTATATTCAAATATGAATATGCTCCTGTGCACAAAGAGACAATTTTGTTCTACTACATTGGGTAAACCATGTCCTGCACTCTGGCAAAGACACCCATATTGGCACATAGAACTCAAACCTTACCTATCTGTGGACAGTAGTCTAACGAGTCATCACAACTACCAGTACTACTATCAATGTTTGGTGATGGCGTTGGCGGTTTTAACATCTCTGCTCTCAATATAAATTGCAACATATTAACATCCTCTGTCCAATTCTGAACAACTAATATAACATGGCAGACTGTGAAGAGGAACGCCGCTAACTGTAATGACTGAAATATATACAATTGTAAATAAAGAATATATGAGAGTGGACAGGAAATGGAAGTTAGATAAACTTTGCATATTATGATTTCAAATGGCGCCAGAGTACGGCTTAACACTTGGCGACATATCAAGAATTTAAATTATCTGCGTATTATACCTGTAATTCTACACAGTTTTCAGCAGTAGTGATTTCAGCGGGTAATATTTTCTCATGTCGTATGAGTTGATCAAGTACAGAAGCACTAAGTATTGGCTGAGTGTCTAATAATATCACCCTCTCATTTGTCACCAAGAAATCCACGCCTTGTGTTTGATGTCCACCAATATCTTTGGTCTCGTTACTTTGAGGACGAAATGGGTATTTTCTGTAAAAAATTATGACAGATTGACAAAATTAACATCCACCATTGAGAAATTAAGTATTGTAGAAGTATTTATTTTCACTGAAAGATGAATTGTGTCTGGTTAAACTTTAACATCAAGTACTGTGAAATACTTTATTTTAACTGGAATTAATTTTCACTGAAAAGGCTTTTTGGGCGTTTTGTGCGGAATTTATTTTCACTGATTTTTGATGAGTTTAATGTGAAATATAGGAAAAAAAGTATATTCGCTGGATTTTAATAAAGTATTCTACAGTAATCCAACATCGTGGTGAGGATTGGATTTAGAAGCATTGTGCGTATAGTAAAAGTGACAATATATTTACTTTGTTCCTTCATTGAATGAGACACCACCAGCCAGCATGGACATTAACGTAGACTTGCCCACACCTTGTAAACCCATAACGCCTACCACAAGAAAATCAGTCTGGTCCATCAACATCTGTGAAACAGATAGCAAATCATGAAGCAACATTTGTTGTTAAACTGCAGATATAGCACTGAAAGTGTTCCTGGGCAGAATTTTTATTAGAATCTGCATGCCTACTTCAACCATTTTCCATTTGAAATTAATAATTCCCAAAGAGAATGAGTTTCACCTCCTACTTTTCTGAATCACATATTTAAAAAAGATTCTTGACTTGTTTTAGGAATTACATGTGAAAAACGATGTTACGATCAAATTGGCAAGATTATCAGTATTCCACAGTGGTGCTATTCAAATGGGGGTCAAAGGTCTGATGAAGAATGTTTTTAAATGTGAAGAGAATTTATTTCCTCACTCATGTTAAATTTTTTAAGTACATTTCAACTAACTAAAAACAGTGACACGCATAATAAGCAAAGAATCCCAATTAAAAACTGACTTTGTTATGACAGTTCAGCTTCTATACACGTACATAATTAATAATATCAGGTGCAACCATGGTAACCGTGGTGCAACTGACTGTACACCAGGCCTCAGAGCAGATATGCTGGAAACATATCAGCATAGTGAATTTAAGATCGCAGAACCCAAGTTCAAATCCTATTTTGAAGAGGCCACAAACTCAGGGAGGCAACAATGACTTTCATGATTCAATGCTACAACTGTTGTCGGGAACAAATTATCAATAAATAAAACTAAAATTTCTAGAAGTTGTTGCAGCTTGGGCTTTATTCAAACGATGAGTTAGTCTAGCAACCTATTCGTCTTATATGGTGCATTGCCATGACAACCCAATTTTAATTGTCAATTAGGAAAGCTTAAAAAATAATAGGGAACAAATTTAAGATTAGCCTTATAAATAAAAAACCTGGCGACCAAAATAGATTTAATCTTTGAAGTTTATAATACCAACCCTACTAACCATGTCTTTATCCGAGAACTGTACCGACTTTCACTGAAATCTGATGATTGATTCTTGGGATATCAGTAGCAAAGACACACTCACATATAGACATATACTAACTACCGACTTTCACTGAAATCTGATGATTGATTCTTGGGATATCAGTAGCAAAGACACACTCATATATAGACATATACTAACTACAAATACCCCAACAGGAGAGAAAAATTACTTCAGTTAAAATACTATAAATTATTTAATATTCACTGCTGGGAATTTTGATGATTTAATGTCTTTAGGACCTCAGCAACAGCGCCCTCACAGTCAAATAGCTCCACTGTCTACCTCAAAAGTTGATAATGTTCTGTACGATGAGATATTGACTATTTGCCCTGGTTATTAGTGTTCCCATTATGTTCTTGCCATACCACAACCACAGTAGATTATTTGGTTGTTGCCATGGTATTTACAATTTTATGATCTTGTTACAAATCTCATGGAGGTCAACCCATGGACCCTATATACCATGTATCAAAGCAATTGAGCTGGTAGTTTTCAAGAAGTAAAAAATAGAATTGTTGATGAACGATGACAGACAATCATCCATATTAACAGCTCTGATTAATCACTGCTATAAAAACTGTATCTGAAAATTCGTCTCTCATAAGATTAATGTATAATATTCAGTACATGCACAAAACTGTTTGCTTTTGTGACAATAATTTTATTTATGCCTCTCATAGGACAAATCAATGAACCACAAAGGGACCTGTACCTCATAACCACCTGGGTAAAACTGGTATGTGAGTAGAATGTAAAAACAAACAATAACACAGCTATATTGGGATTATAGAGGGAGGTAACAAATAAACATAATCAGAATGCTTCATTACAGGACCTTAATTACACTAAATGTCCTGTTTCAAAGTCTGGTTGTAGGACCTCTATATGGCTTTGTTCTCATAAATTGTTTTAGGACCTTCATACTAACCATGTAATTCAAATACATTAGTAAATCTAGGCAAGTTTATTTTCTTTTCATTACAGAAACGCCAAAAACTTAAGGAATGACTGGGGGAGGGTTTATTTATTTATTTTCAAGAATATTTAATATTGTACATGTAAGGCCTATAGTACTGAATAAAGATATATATATGTGACATGAAAGATGACACTACCAAGTCATTGGCTTTCAGACTGTATGATTTTCTAAGTTAGATCATTAATAATCAGAAGTTGATCATTAAGCATATCTTGTGTGTATGGTCCACCTGCCACAACGTCTGCATGAAAATTGAATGAAAACCGCAACTACAAATTTATGCATTATGTAATATATGTTATATAGGATAGTCAATTTAAAAATAGGGGCTCTGTCCTATCCCAGAAAAGTTCTCATACTCTGGCTTTATCCTATCCATACAGTTAGATTTACCATATAAGGGGAGGGCCAACCTTATGAAATACCTTTTAATTCTCTTGTAAATATATAAAATAGTTCATAGTAGAAGTGTACACCTCACCTCCATACCGTTATCACACCAATGCAAGGAATAGGGGCTCTGTCCTATTCCAGAAAATTTCTCATACTCTGGCTTTATCCTATCCATACAGTTAGATTTACCATATAAGGCGAGGGCCAACCTTATGAAATACCTTTTAATTCTCTTGCAAATATATAAAATAATTCATAGTAGAAGTGTACATCTCACCTCCATACCGTTATCACACCACTGCAAGGAATCATCCACAAGTTTCATACTGTGTCTCATTTCTGGAGGTAATACAAGTCGTGGTAATTGCTGCTGTGGTACGCTAACTGTATAAAACAAGTATATCAAATTTCATGGGAAGAATACTCATTTCATAAATTTACAAAGCAATCTGGATTTCTACAACAAGCCTTGTTATGTAGACGACTAGAGCTGCATGGTATTGTGAAATCTCAACATAATATGAGGTTATTTCCCAGTAAGTAGTCAGCTCAGGCAATCAAATCCACAAGTTCACAACTTAATTAGTTGTATCATTGCTTAGGACTATCTGTCTCTTGCCCGGTCTCTTGTTCACTAACAGTCACACATTGTTAACATCTGAACGTGTGAATAATTTTCTGTCATAAATTCAGACAGCCATGGTAAATATTTTATTTTACGTCAGTAAAAATACGTAGTCACGCCTGTAAAAAGGAATTCCTGCGTCACGCACCGCCGATTACGTAAAAACAATAGAAGGCTTCAAAAGTAGTCACACCTCACAGAGGTGTTAAATTTGCCACAATGGACACGAAAACTACGATGG